GTGTTTTTTTTTTTTTTTTTTTTTTCGGTGCTCTTTTCTTCTAAAAGGCGATTCTCGCTTTCTCGATGATGTTGTTTCCTCTTGTTTCATGAATCGTTCTTTTTGATTTTATGATGCCTTTTTCCAGATAGTGTTCAGTACGTGTGTTTGTCTTCATTGGCCCATATCGGCCCTTTAGGTGGGTATAGGACCAGACCCTGGTCCTGTTCTTAAAACGGCCATGAGAACAGCAGAAGTGATTTACACATGGAGGCCGTCCAGAGTGTCCTTTAGTCGATACACTCATGAAGAACACGTTGTCATTTCCACACCCCTTTCGTTGAAGAAACGGCACATGCATCATGAATCGTTCGGTGACGAAACCGGTTTTGAGCGAACCGCTGACACCGCTTAAACGGACCAGGTTCGCACACGGACCGCGATACATGCGCATTCCACACACGGAGGACGGGCCGTTTCCCAGTGAACTCGTCCGGTGAACTCGTCCTTCGCGGCACACACACCTGGGTGTCCCCAGTCCCAACCAGAAAGAAATGGATGCTTCCCCAGTCCCAAATTCCTATGGTAAGGATCTCAATTGCCATTTTTTTAACAACCAGTTGTTTCTGGTTGTTTAGGCTCCCACACGCATGTGCACAAAAAACCTTCCCAGTTCAAACGAAAAAGCAAAGGACGTGATGAGCCTCCCAAGACTTTGGTTCCAAGGCCTAGCGGAAATATGCTTTTGTGAATGGCAGCTCCAGATCCCCTGAAAGGAAAGTGGTGAAAGGTTCCTGCCATGTTTGCTGCGTCGACCAGAGTTCATTCCACTTCTCAGGCACTTCGATAGCCCCTCAGCCAGTTGTGGCATCGAGCTCTTGGCTTCTCGGCTTCGCGTTTGCCGCGTCCGGCGCGGGAACACACGCCGCAGACGCGTGCGGACGGCAACAAGATCGGAACGGGGGATCGGTGCAGATGGCGGTGGGTCGACCCTCCTGTGTTGATCAGGAGGGTGTTTGATGTCCCCTCCTCTTTGTCAGATGTCCACCTCTTTGTGTTCGATCAAGTTTGACCATCCTACGAATAGATGTTGCGTCATTTGACCTTGGACCAGTACATAAATCTAGACAGACCAATTTACAAAAGGAAGGAAGGGGCGAAGCCCAAGAGGAACCGATGCAACATGATGCAAACTAGTTATGCAACAAACAAATGAAGGAAGGTTAGAAGTATGTAATATGTTTTAAAACATGCATATATAGTTAATTAAATCAGTGATCAACGATTCCACGATTGGATGGCAAAAGTGTTGAAATTGCATTGTGAGGATACCGTTTAGTGCCAACAGCAGGAGCAGCGAGCCTGAAACAAATCAGTTTAGTATGGGAAAGAAGCATACGAAGGCGGAGCATACTAATCAAGAAGGGAGCACTATGCATTGAAGAGGGCAAGTCAAGATTGCTATAGGCACCCCCAAACTGCGCAGGGCATTGGAGAGGAAGTGAAGGCTCCTGGCCCCCATCCACACCAAGTCTAGCCAACATCGAACAACCGGTGACATATGTTGCAACATAGAAAGCATATTCAAAGCATTCAACTCTTGGCACTTGCAAATCCTGGCTTGGACAGACCTTTGCCTATAGCATTTTCTCATGGAAACACGTGGCACTCAGCAAAAACCAGTACACTATTCCTGAGAGGCCAAACGGCTGGGAAGGGGGGGTGGCCGAAAGAAGACCGAGAACGTCTGACGAGAGGTTTTGGTCTCGGCATGGGGTCCCCAGAGACCGTGTTCTTTTACAGTAATGGTTCGGTTTGTTACTAGTAGTAAGGCACTTGTTACTAGTAGCGAACCTTGTTACTACTAGTAAGGCGCCTGTTACTACTAGCGTGGCACTTGTTACTAGTAACCGTGTTCTTTTTTGGGTGCGGTTTGTTGGTGTTCTCTTGCTATTTTTGTGTGTAAGCCTTCCAGTCAACTTGCAAGTACTGAGGATTGCTTGTTGTTGTGAATGATGTCTCCCTGGCATGCTGAACAAGTGCTCCCCCTGGGCCTATGTGTTTGGCTAAAGGCACTCATGTTTTTCCATGTTTTCCCCCCTCCTGATTCTCATTGTTCATGGGGTGTGCCATGGTGCCCTTGGAGAGCAGCAAAAGAACGCTCACCTGACACCTCCAAGCGCCGCTGGCCGACATGCCACTTCACGCTTGGTGACGCATGACATGCAGCATCAGGCCAGTTGGCCCGAGACCGTCGTGACCACCTGGCTTCTCGGCGAATACATCAGCGCAGCCGTCGCGCTTTACGCGACGCGGTGCGCGTTTCCAGCGCTTGGTATGGTGACGCGTGCGCGGTGTTCTTGGAGTATCTTCATAGTGGTCCGACAAAAATACGTCCGCAGCTTCTGCCAACTACGGAAGAGGGGGAAAAAGGGGCACATGCATATATGATGGTCTTCCAGATTCTACACCCAACCTCCCACAAGCTTTTGATCAAGGATTCCGGATAAGAACTGGGGGCACCAGTGCCCTGATTCGCTATTGCTTACATGTTCACACAGGTTCCCGGTAGGTCGCGGATCACGACACGTCGAAGGATCGAGATCGGAGGACTGGAAGGCGGTCTCATAGGTAGTAAGCACCGTAGTAAGCACCGTTGTTTCACGTGGCTTGAGAGGGTTTGGCACTACCTTCTCAGGAAGTGCTTGGAGCCCCAAAAAGGGTTAATGCTAGGAAGTAGTGTAAACAAATGGCCAGAATCTGTTGTAGAACTCTCCTCGGTCCGCACCGCCCAGCATCACGGTCCGCACCGCACCGCGCACTTTCAGGACCGAGCTCAAGCGCGCCCTGCGACGCTCTGGCGACTCGCCTGGTGGCGTGCCGCTGCCGGAGGGCACATGGCGCGTGATCCGGATATGTGGGCGAATCCAAGTGGAGGAGAGAAGCAGGGAGAAGCAACAGCAACAGTTAGCCTTGAGGATCAAGCCTTGCTACTCAGAGGTTGGTGACAGATGACATCACTGCCCAAGAACTCTCAAATACTGCATACTGCATACTGCATGTTCACCCCTGTAAGAAGCATCTATATAGCGTCTCACTCCGAGAGATGCTTTCACTTGTGAGCAACTTAGTAACTTGTGTGATTTGCAGTAGCATCGTGGAGTTGAGCTCTATTGAAGAAAAAAAGAAGCAGATGGCACCCACTGTTTCTAGAGGGGTGGGGGACAGATGCCGAAATCGAGACGAACGGAGGGACAGAAGAAGATTGATGATATTGACAGAATGATATTGATGCAATCTGGCCATGTATCATGATGTTCTGCTTCTTTTTGTCTTGGAAGTTCAGCTTTTTCCTGAACAGCAGGAGCCTTTGCTTTTGGATCGACCGGTTGTCCTTGCAGGTGGGCAGAAACAGCAGTCAGCGAAACTCTGGCAGCGTGGAGTCCACTCCTCTGCATAGGTCGACATGGAACCCCAAAACCACCGGTCTCAGGTTCCATGTCAGGTGCTGCTACACCCGCCACATGGAAGTGAGTGGAAAACGCTTGGTTTGTGGAAACTGGCCCATCCAGGGTACTGTTCCACTTCAGTGTGTGGGAGACCCCAAATTCGAGGGTTTGGGTTGCTGCCGTAAAAATCAGTTGCGTGGTCCCGCCAATGCCGTTAAAAGCGATCGACGCTCGACGTTGCTCTTTCATGGAAGTTTCCAGTTCATTTGGATCACAAAGCCATGGCCCATGGCCTTTGGATGTTAGGGTTAAGCTCTGAGTGAGCAAGCAAAGACATGCAAAACATTGACTCATCCGTCCAGAAACACATGAACATGCCAAAGAGAGTAATTACGTTACCCAAAGTCGGATCCCCAAGCCCTGCATGGAACACCCTCCGCTCGATTGGAGATTTGTGTGGTCGCACCATTCCGCATCATCTCAAACTGATTTGCTCAACAGAACAAGCAAGAGTCGCATCATGCCACACTTTTCCGCGCGTCTCGATGCGAGGAGATGCGGTTTTCGCGGAGATGACGAAGGGGTGACTGATCTCCCGTTGGTGATCGCATATATGATCATAGGGCCGGGGGTTGTGTAAGGGGTATATAGGGGTTGAGGGTCGGACCATCCCAGAGGCGACCCTGGACCCTCCTAATCAAGTAAGTAGCGGTCGTACCCAAATCCTTTGGAGTCTGGTCCGGACCCGAACCCATCTCTATCCGACTATGCTCCATATGTACTATACCCATGACACGACCCCATGGGACTGCCAGTCCGGACTGCCGATCAGTTAAGGGTTGTGCCGGGGCGGCATCCCTGGCACTCCCATGTCGTGTCCCCGACTTCAAGCACCCCAGGGACCCATGGAACCTCTTCCAGGGTCCCCATGCAGCGGTTTTGGACGGGGGCTCAATGGACTGGACCTCGTCGCGGAGGCGAACCCGTGGAGGCCATGCCAGGCGGGGCCGAAGGTCGCGAGGTGGTCCCCCAGTCAAGGATCTGTAGACTTCGTGCCGGAATCAGTTACTGTCTATTGGTTTCTGGCTGGGACTGTTTTTTTTTTTCAGGGTTTGTGGTGTTATTTCTCGCTCCCAATGCGCGAGAAGAAACCAGATGAGAACGTTTGCGTTGTTTTTTTTTTTTTTTTTGGGGGGGGGGGCATATAGTAGGGGGAATTCGAAACTCGACGTTTGCGTCCTGATGTGCCAATCTCTCGCCGGGCCGCCTTGGCTTCAAGAAGTGCATCTCGAAATCGAGTGAAATCAGGTCCTTTTTCCTGTCGCCGGCGGCTCCGTTGAAAGGCTCTCCCCATCGCTGGACTTCTCAGGGGCAATCGCCAATTCGGGAGGCCATTGGACAGTTTTTTGGGGAAGCAGACTTAGTTCCGATCGCTTCCCAACCTGGTCTGCACAAAGGTTACTGCGCCCATCATCAACTCTTGCAACCATACACCGCGACGGCCAGAGGCTCGAAGGCCGGCCGCGCAACAGACCCACGACACGCCGCTGATCCAGGCGAAGCTCAGGGAGAACTATCGAGTGCCAGTGGCTCTGTGGTATGGAGCCTTAGAGCCTCGACCCTTTTGGGGTGCGTTGACACGTGGTGTGGGGAGCCAATGCAACTCTTGGCTTAAAGAGCCAAAAGTTGTGAGTATTTCTGAGGTGGGTGATGTTTGGGGTTTGTCCGAACTGGCCTGTAACAGTCAGTAAACAATGAATCCTTTACTAACTAACTCACATCATCATCCACTGCTACATGCAGGTAATAGGATAGACCCAAGTGATGTTGAATCGACTGCGATGAAGACGGCTCGAACGCTGTGAACGGTCCGGACGCTTCGGAGACCCGTCTTTGGTCGCCGTGTGGACGTGGTGAAGTTGCTTCCAATCGATCTGCAGTTGGAACGAGGTTTCTTTTGCCCCACAGCGGCTTCTTTGCCCACAGTGCCTTCTTCGGTTCTGTGAACACTATCTTGCAATCTATTAACTCCTATAAGTTACATTTCAAGCCGGGGGAAGAACCAGGATTAAACGATATTGTATCAAATACCCAGACGCTCCATGGGACTGCCATATTTGCCGATCAGGCCAGGGGTGGTGCCAAGGGGGATCTTTCTGGGGCGGCAGTCCTATTCCAGTCTCATGGAGTGATCACGAGGTGTGTCACCCTCGTGGTTTGACACGCTGTGAGGACCTAAGAATCCGGGCCCAGTGTCTTACACATGCTATGGAGCCTGCCATGCGCTGCGGACCGGGGTTCTTAGGGTGGATTCCATGGTTCCCCTCAGACCGGGGTGATTGTTCCGGAACACCGGTCTACACGTGGCGTGCGTCGTCGCTCCCTCAAGGCCCATCAACGGCGAAGTGGCAGATGAGCCCCATGTTTTAGGATTGGTCAGTGGTTACTGAATCCGGCGCCTGGGTTCCATAGCATGACCGACTCCAGCCCAGGTCTGTTGTTCAGCAAACAGACTCGCACTCCTTCTCCACTGCAGTGGCCAAAGACGCGACCATCGCCCATCGCCATGGGCGGAAACTCCTCCCAGCCGATCGATGTGCGCGTCACGGACAGGAAGAGTCTCACCAAGGAGCTCTGCGACCGCTCGACGTCGACCGTGACTCACCATGGACCTGGAAGTAAAGGATCTTCCTGAAGTGACGATCAATTAGTCTATGGTGCAATGTATCCCAGTTGGCAGTTGGCCTAGTGTTTCTATTTTGAGTTATTTCCTTCTTTGGGAAGATCGAAAATAGGATCTGCATTCTGTTCGAACACTGACAGACGCAGAGGCATTCGTGAGTTCAAGGTACGTTAAATGACAATATAGACATTGCACACTGCTTGAATAGACTATATCATACATATACACATGGTGTTACATAATTTATGCTTATGTTACGTGTGTGCCATTGCACAATGGACCAGACCTTTTTGTAGAGAATGTCAATGAATGATTCCCGGAGACATAGACCAAACTGGAGGAGCTTTGTCTTCGACGCAAGGACTATGAATCC